GTGTCAAAGGCCTTGCTGAAGTCCAGAAAGACTACATCCACCGCGACACCTGCATCCATGGCCTTTGTGACCTGATCATAGAAGGCAATCAGGTTGGTCTGACATGATCTCCCCTTAATAAAACCATGCTGATTGCCCCTGAGCATCATTTCTGATGCCGGCCCCTCACAAATGTGCTCCTTGATGATCTTCTCAAAGAGTTTCCCCAGGATTGAGGTAAAATGTTCCCTGCAAGCAGGCTATTGTGTAAGTATTCATTAAAGAGCTTCTTGCATCTTCCTTGGAAGCAGCTGAAGCCACAAATGATCAGGGGACAGATGGTGTAGATAGACAGCTGAGCTGATCACCTGTGATCTGGCAGTTCCCAAGATCCTGCACACTCAGCTGACATCAAATGGAACAGAGTGCTGTTGCTTTTCAGCTTTAATGTGATGAGTGTCTCTCTGCCTGTGGAATATAATGCTCACCTTGCTACTCACAATGTTAGGAGTAAGATATGAGATTGTCATCATTTAGCCAACAATTTAAATCAAATTCAGACTTAGGCTGCCTGGCAGCCTATGGGAAATAAATTCCAATCATGAAAAAATAGGGCTGAAAGGGACATCAGGAAGTCAGCTTTCCTACCACTTAAAATGATGAAAGTTCCACAAGCCTTTTTTTTAGCAATCTAGTCCAATGCTTAACAATTGTCGCAATTAAAAAATTGTTCCTAATGTCTCACCTAAATTTCGCTTGTTGGTTCTCAGCCAATTCCCAATGAACAGATGTCCATACCACAAAACCATCTTTATAAATAGCTCCTTTGGTCTCAGCAGAAGAGTCAAGAATAGAATGGACATGGAGCATTAGTTCTTGGATGAGTCCCTGTGGTGTATGCATGGGAAGGAACACAGGAGAAAGTTTTGCTGCTGCTACCAGGTTTGTACCTGTTCTTCAAATCAAGCAACATGTCTAGAGCTGTCAGTTTGGCTCCTTTCACCAGCATTAAACACCACTATAAAACACCAAAGCCTAGTGCTAGGACTAAAGTGGAACATTTACCAGCTTCCTTGGAAGAGACAGGATTCTTCTTCTGTGTATTTGTACAAGTCAAAAAAAGCTATTTTTTAATATGAACACACCACAGATATTTGACTTGACCCATCCTCAATTCATACACTAGGGAAAGCACATGAAATGTGTGTTCTGTTCCCACTTGAAAGAGATCTTTCTTTGGAGTTATCCTTTAATGTCAGCCTCAAACAATTGGCAGGGCATTTCTTATTCCAGTGTGGAGAGATCAGCGGGACCCTGTGAAAGATAATGCAGGATTCCAACATAATCATGGGTGCTTGTATAAGGAGAATCGGTGACTCTGTTCCCCCCCTTTGCGACGTGGCATTTTTGCATACCCATGAGAGCGCTCCCTTCCTCGGGGATCTCAAAGGTTGGGGGGCTTTGAACTCCACTTCAAAGCTGGGGGCTTGAAATGAGGTATTTGTAAACCCAAAGGAACAGCAAATATTTGCAGGAACTGATTAGCCCCCTCACCACCTTGATGGGCAACTGTACAAGATGGCTGGACAGAGTTCAGCAAGCTTTGAAGTGTACCTTGAAAGTTCACAGGGTCTCTTTAGATCTGTACAATACTTACATTTTCCATAGAAACTCAAGAGGACAACTTCTTGTTCAGCTTTGTGCAGCCTGTCAGCTTTTTCTGGTCAGGTATAAATGGTAAAAGTCAAGAGCTGAATTCTGTTACTGATGCTAATGTAAATTCAGAGTCACTCCAATTAATCAGTAGGGTTACTCCAGGTTCACACCAGTTGTTTTGTATACTGAGAATGGAACCTACCCCATTGTTGTTCTAGCTGGTTTGATTTACGTATGGAAATAGGACTGGAAGGGGACTCTTGAGTTGCTGAGTCGAGTCCTTTGTTGTCAAAGACAGTATCACATAATCACTTTAATAAATGTATTAACTTCTAGCCTAAAGCTACATGTTTTGAGTTTTCTGATCAGGGATTTTGGGTTGATCCATTATAACAAAGGACCACGTATTATTACATTCACATCTAGGTCCAAGGTTAGCTCCTCCCCCAGAATTATCTACAAAAGCATGAAGGCGTGCAGTTGGGGGAGTTAAGTTTTACTGGCCCATTCAGACCCTGAGCTCTCTGTCAAGGGTGCTAGCTGTGTGCTGTTGTTTGTGATGTAGAAACTTGCTCACTAACAAGGAAAAATGAACCCCACTAATTAACTTCACACACCCAACAAGTCCCTGAACTTTCTCTGCCCTGAACTGATTTTGAACTGGACTTAAAAGGCAAAGGGTTTTCTGTTCCTCCCTGCCTTCCCATCAGCTAGTATCTTTAACACAGAAAACATGCTGAGGCATTACAGCTAGATTAAGTATGAAGTTTCGTGTTTATTGGGCCCTTCAGGCTAGTACACTATGAGCATTTAGTTGTATTGCTATACTAGTATAGTGGACTGACAAGAAGTTCTAGTGTAGATAGAGCTTTAGTTTGGAGATTATTGCTTTTGCTAGCACAGCTTCCCCCAGCCCCTCACCCTTTGCCCTGCACTCAACAAGCTACACAGGCAAATGCTCAGTTTTGCTGCTATAAATGTATCTACACTTTGGGTTTCTGCTGGCTGGGCTGTGGTAGTCAGGTGCCACACCTTGGCACACCCCTGACTGACCAAACCAAGCTGACAGAAGGCTGTAGTGTAGTGTAGACATAGCTTAAGTGTTTCATGTTTTTCTACTGAACACAACACATATTTGAATTGAAGGGGAACAAGATGATGCTCCAAGCTTCACTGTACCTGCAGAATGAACTTCACCCACGTGACTCATTGAGAAGTGATGCTCTTCACTGTAGGTTACACAGAGGTTCAAAGTGTGGCTGTGCATATTCTACAAGTCCTGTACCCCACCTCCCCCAAGCGCTAGGATCTGGTTTTCCCTCAGCTGGGCTTGAACGTGCCTCCAAGCTCTGGTTGGCAGTTTGGTGTTACCTCCTTTTTATTAGGGAGGTAATAAATCAGGGGTAACATCTCCCAAGAACCACCTACTGTGGCAGAGATGAGACAATTCCTACAGCAATCTGTGAAGATCAGTGATCCTCTCTCTCCCTTCTTGCACAAGGAAAGAAAAAGTTATCAATGTCAACATCTTTATCTTCACTGGGTGGCTAAAAATCCCTGACTGAGATGAGGCAGTTCACACCATTCAGAGCCATTGTTCTAGGCTCTCTGCAGGGGTTACACTAGGTTCCCACTTGAGATTTTCTTTGCAGATGTGATCACTAGAGACTCACATAAAGGAAAATGAGCCTACCTGCCCCAGCCCCGGTTCTGAAGAGCATGACCACAGTTGCAGAGAGATGCTGATAGGCTGTTACCAGTACAACCCACCCAATCTGAGCTCTGCCTTGGTGCGACTGAGTGACTCAAACATCCCGGCTGCCCAGACAGAGACTCCCCAAGACAGTGCCATTCCTCTTTTCTGTTAGCAGCAGGATCGTTGCAGAAGGCTCTTGACAAGAACAGAAGAAAGCTGGTGAGTTGAGCTGGAATGCACACAGGAGCTTGGGGAGGGCATCCTTTCCCTTGGTCTCCTTCCAAGAGGACAGCATCTGGCCACCACTGCTGCACCTGTATGGCCCAAGAACATATCGTAGACATTGGGCCATGCTGGGAAATAGGAACAGCCTAAAAGATGTAGTGTAGAAGACATGACAATGGCTGGTCAGGAAATCCTTGAATATGCTTCTGCGAGACTTTGGTAGGGAGCATTCTACAGGGCTTTCCCATCATTTCAAGCAGCCTGGAACCTGACCCAGGGGAGATGCACAGCTGTAGTGATCTCAGCTACATGATGTGACAACGACACAATATCTGGCCCTGTAGCAACACATGGACAGCAGACAGATGCCAAGGTAAAGCTACTCCCTGTGGCTGCCACTTGTAGAAAAGGAGAGACATGGACTGGAGCAGAAAGTGATCTGCCAAAGGCAACAGACAGCTCTATAGTGACCTCAGACCTTGTGCAGATGGACTGTTTCCCTTCACTGCTTTAATTCACCAAACAGCTCCAGGTATGCCTTTAGGCACTCATAATGGTGCATCTACATAGCAAAATGAAGGTGCAATTGCAGCATGTGCTAGCACACCTGTGTTAGCTCAACCCAGCTAATACAGATCATACTAACAGTGAACACCGCAACTACATAAACATGTAATCAGGGTCCCTTGAGAGTTTGTGGTCTGGTTGTAAAACCCCATGTCACATGTAAAACCCCATGTCACAGCATCTTCACTACTACTGTTCCCCTTGCTAGAAGTTAAGGCCATGGAGGGCTGTGAAAGATGGAGTCTTACTGGTCAGTGACTCTGAGGCTTAGAGACTATTAAGGCTTCATATGGAGTTTTTAGGAGGCCTGCTACCCTCCTCAAGCACATCACAGCTTTGGCCTCCTGGAGGGAATAGATAACATCAGGTTTTCTGTAAGCCAGCTCTGGTACAGAAACCAGTTCTAGATCACAGGCAGAGCACATGCTGATATAGATGAAGATATACAGCATTATTGAGTGTCACAGCTGTGGGGAGAAGAGGAATAATTGAAAAGACTCCATCCCATACCGATGGGCAGTAACCTAACCTCCCTCATACGTGCTTCTGTCACCTCCCTGCTGGAGGACAGCAATATATTATGATATAGAAGCGTAAGGTTGGAAATGACCTCAGAAGTCATGTGGTCCATACTCTTGCACCAAGACAGGAGACCTCCAGTTTGCTTAAACTATTGGCTATCTCATGAGACTGATCCCTCAAGTCGCATGGTGGCGCTTCTGTTCCCACATCAGATGACTAACTTTTACAAACAAAGTGACAAAAATCAAAGAAATTCCCACTCTGGCAGCATGAACAAGTCTGGTTTGAACCTTCCCATGAGTGAGTACTCACAGAGTTTTTGCACCCAGGGAATATTCTTGAGAACAAAAATGTCACTTGCTTGACTCTGTGGAAAATGATTTAAAAGGGTGGCAGACATTCTCAAAGTAAATTAGGAGTTGTAGATATTTCTTGAAGTATTTGCCAGCTTCTCCTCCCCAACTAAATTAAGAGAATGTCTCCTTTACGTCATCAGGCAAATCCTCCTGGAGCTAGGGATCATGATTTCCATTCTCTATACCTCACATACGTGGTTGGCTTGGCCTCAGGTGATTACACAGTAGGCTAAAAAGCAGGCAGTTGGGTTTTGGACAGTCACCCTGAACATATACACTTTATTTGAGAAAGAGTGAAGATGAAAGCAGAGGAGGAGCAGAGGATGCCTGTCATGCTGGCACAAGGCAGCGATGATGACATGTCTACAGGATCTAGCCAGGGAAGTACACTGTTTGATCCCATACAACAGTAATACAGTAACTATAAATCAATGGGGAGTGCACGCAGATGAAGGAAACAATGCTGCAATGAAAAAAGAATGTGCTATACTGTGGTCTCCCCATTTCCTTCCCTCCTCTTTCATCTGCTCCCCAGGGGCATTGGCTTGTGCAGTGATTCAAGCTACATCAAAGCAACAATGGCTGAACCTCAGAAGATTCAGCATGTGTGTCTAGGTTCATGTTGAGATCATGAGGTCTGAGAAAATGAGCTGGAAGTCCCTTGGGGAGATTCTCAGTCCTTCTTGGTTTTGATGGGGTTGGAAGTGCCTTGGGCTGTTCTAGCCCTTCCCCTGGAAGTATAGGGACAGGTAAGTACAAAGAGAGATTTCAGTGGTGACTGGACAAGTCTGAGGCTCATTTCAGGCTGAGAGCTAGAAACAAATGTTCCAGAACTCAGTTTGTTCCAAAATTGTCTGCCCATCTCCACTTATCTCCCAGGGCAATGGTACCTGTGTGTGTAATTAGTACTAACACCTGGCTCTAATATAGCTATAGTCAGTATCCTTATTCCCATTGTACAAATAGAGGACATGGGGCAGAAACAGGAGAAACTGTTTGTCCAGATGCTACTCAGTGGGCCAGAGGCAAAGCCAGGCACAGAGCCCCCACCTCCTGTAGTTTAGGCCAGTGATCCATCCATTAGTCCACATTGCCGCCCTATTCCTGGGGCACTGAGTCACTGGGCTTTGCTAATCCACATTCTGAGGCATGCAGATCTTTGGCTGTAGCTCTCCTACTCCAGGCCACACAGTCCAGTCCAAGTAGTAGCACTTCCCTTTTGAGTGAGCCTCATGACACCACTATGTGTGTGTCAAATGCTTGTTGCTCTACAGATCAGACTGGACTTGGGCACCTTTTCTTCTTCCCTTCAGAAGCCTAAACCCAGCAATGTGGAGAGCAACAGCCTTCTTAAAAAATACGGTATAAATTTATCAGTTGGAACAAAGCATTTGAGGAAAAAATAGCACACAGTAGCATCCTACATGCCTCTCTTTCTTACCTAAGGGTGACATAGGCAGGCACCCCCAGAGAGTTTGTGTGTCTGAGTCTGGTTCCTGTTTGGTTCCCCGCAGCACTGACAAGTGTTGTCTTCTTAATTCCTTGCCAGTGATCTTGTTAAATTAATTGTAAGTAGGGTTGCCAGCCCTCCAGGATTCCCCTGGAGTCTCCAGGAATTAGGTACAAATCTCCAGGAGACTGCTGAGAGTCACCCAGGAGAGAAATGATAGGGCATTCATTAAAATAAATATTAAATGTTGAATCTGACTTATACAGCAGTCCAGTGGATTTTTAAAATGTTATAGTACTGTGCATTTGCCTTCCTGATGTAAAGTCTATGCACTGTAATCCATAACTGACATACGCAAGTATGCAGGCACATTTGCATTGTGTGTTGCAGGTACACTCGCATTCGGGAAGCCTCCTGGAAGATTTCATAGATTTCATAGACTTCAGGGCTGGAAGGGAGCTCAGAAGATCATCGAGTCCAGCCCCCTGCCCAAAGGGCAGGAAGTCAGCTAGTGTCATAGG